GTTTGGCACAACAGATTTGTGACGTATCTTAGAAAACGTACTCTAGGCCGCCGCAAGCCTGAGACTACTATAATTTAGCAGGCGGAGCGGTAGACGCATTTCATCTACTGTGGGTTGTCAATTGTGACACTGTCAGCTAAAACCGACTTTATCCATCTGGAAGCCGAGCCTACCATGATATAGTGACTGTACAGTGACAAATAAATACTTTGCACAGATATTTGGGCGTGAAATACGATAAAACTTAAGTGGTTGCCACATGAGTGACCCCGAGACGTTTAAAAACTGAGAGATCCCAATTTCAGTGATATTCAACCCAATCCGGATGTTACCTGTTTCAATTAGTTTGCACATTCTGACCTGAGGTTAGAGCTAGCAGTGTTGCTGATTTCCTCATCCAAATATCTAAAGAGCTTACCAGCAACCCCTTTGGTCGGTTGAGAACAACCACAGTATCCTTATTACCGTTGAGCCGTTGAGATGGCCTCAGCCTGTAAGCGCCCTTCAAAAACCATCTTATATCTGCATCATTAGTAACATTTTGGGTAAAAGACTGATAACTCAAACAATCATATCTTGATCTCTTATCCCCTGTAAGGTAAGAGATTTCAAGGTAGAAAACCAGACATGTATTTCTTCAGGACAAAGGTCCTACAGTAATTTAAGCCCATAATACATGATGGATTATCGATGTTGATATGAATGACAGCTTTCCAGTGACGATAACTAGGGGAAGCTTCAGAATTAGTGGGAGCGGCGTCCTGGGTCCCTCCATTAGATCCTTGCGTTACTTCTAGAAGCGAGATTTCAGAAACACCGAATACTTGAACCAAGATCAGGACGGTGACAGGTGTAGCTTCCACGTCCCACTGACACAAAATCTTATCTGTACCAGTATTACTCCTAGATTTTATATTTGACGCAAGGGCAGTAAGATTTCTCTCTTTACACAACTGCCATAGTTTTCCCGCAACCTGGTCCAGACGTGGAAACTAGAACTTCTTCATTCTATTGATGTAGGATGGGGTATAATATGCGACAGCCCATCAATTCGGCAGCAAAGCATTCACCACAGAAAAAATATACCAGTGGTTCTTGATGATTAGCATGCGGGATCTGCTTCTCGGGTGACCAAAGACTATGAGACTTTTTCCTGGCCAACGAATGTCCCATTCCGACAAATTATACAACTAAAAATTGGATAATTCCGTACCTCTGACCGCATCTTCTTTGCGCCCCAGCCGAGGTAGACGTTATATTATGTTAGTGGCATAGTAGCGTCAAAATTCCCTTGAGTATTTTACAAGGCAAGAAATTTCACTCGTTGGTGTATATACGAGTATCACAGATATCAATAAAAATATTTTCCCAATTTACTAAAAAGCGTAAATGTCACTTTTGGTTCCTAAGCTCCTCAACTATTGCTCTCTGCTTTTCCGAAACAGCTGGACATGGAGTGAGTTACCACATCGCATTTATACATTCTTCTCCAGGGACATCAAATCGTACGTGTAAAGCATTACACCACAATATGATTAAACTTTCCCCGCGCTCGTTCAGACAGATTAGAGGCTAAAAGCGTTTCATAATTTTAATTATGCATTAGCTGTTCTCTCCTGTGTACTAAATCGCATACAAATGCTGGCTTCCACTCTAAACTTTTTCCCTGACACGTTGAGTGCAGCACAACATTAGACTGTATACACCAGTAAGTGTAAAGTATATATGGGTCGAGTCGCAAGACAAAAAGCACACGTCTGTGAAGGGGTTCTACGTGTGTTTGTGAAAGGCGCTACCGTTCACGCTAAAGACAGCAGGATACACGTTGGAAATGCTTCAATAGCAGTTGTAGAAATAGGGACATGAGCAGAAATCCTTCACTGTTCAGGTATGGAGAGGATAAAGGGAAAGGGCAAAATGATGTCAGAAGCAAATAGAGGGTTGCACTGTGCTTAATTAACTTTTCCTTGGTTCGAAACCGAAGGTCGAGTTAAAACTGGAAGCTATTCCTGGCAAGCACGGGTATCATGTAAAAAACCTTTACAACGTCAAAAAAATCTATAAGATGTCATCTTGCAAACTAGGTAGTTTTTAGGGCACAAACAGTCATTCCACGTTTGCTCACTTGGATCGGTGTGAACGTCCATCTCAGGAGGAGACTCTCAACTAAACTAAACGCATTATTGGTTACATATGTTTTGTGAGGCCAAATGGTCCTTGTCTGTAGCTTTTATCTCTGAGAAGAAAGTTGGTTGAATAGCCAGATCGCATCAATATGTTGATTATAAAGGATATCGTTCACCACTTATAAAGCCTACTTAAGGAATTCCCCAAGGCTCGAATCTAGGACCCTTACTATTTATCTTATATACAGGGTGACTTTGAAGTTGAGTCATTAATTTTCACATAATGATTGTAGAAGGAAGATAAACCAAAATATGTGTGTAAAAATAAAAAAAAATTAAAAAAAAATTTTACCTCGTTTTGTAAAATATCCTCCCGAAAAGTATTTCAGTGCGGACCTGTATTTGATCGTGAGGTCTTGGAGCACCGGCATGCAGTCCCCTGTGTGATTCACGAGCCCGTTGTACTACATTAGCAAAGGTACGAGGGGTTGGTTGCACTCGATTGGGAAACCGATCCGCATAAACATGTGCCATTTTTTATTTCGTTTGAGCCACGCAACAGACACTACTATTCACTGACACTGACTGTATACAAATGAATAAAATAATTGTAAAAACATCGTTCCAAATTCTTTCGCTTTTTTGTTTCCGATGCGATGAACCGATACGGCGGATTATATCCGTTGTCGCCAAACACGAGCACATAATATTATTATTGAGACAGGGCGGTACTCAAACTTCCAAAGGGCTATAACTTTGTTACTTTGATTTTGCCAGAAAAATGGTAAAGGAAAAAAACATTTCTTTTGATCAGATCTACTCACTGTTAAAATAAATGACTCAACTTCGAAGTCACCCTGTATAAACGATCTAACTCTTGACTTGCACTGTTCAAAGTTATTATATGCAGATGACCTCAAAATATACAACTATGTCAATACTATCGATGACTGCCTTGTCTTGCAGCAAGATAGTATCACAGTGTCTTCATGGTGTCATGCCAATCATCTTAACTTAAATACGGACTAGTGCTTTGTTGTGTCTTTCACAAGGCAATTAAACATCTTAAATTTCAACTACTACCTTGAACACGTTAGCCTTAAGCGTCAAGAGCAAATCAATGACTTAGGAATCATATTTGATCAAAAAATGTCTTTTTCAAATCATATCGACACGACTGTTTCGTCGGGTAATAGGATGTTGGGATTTATCGGAGGAACGAGAATTTTCTATTTCAGTACTAAATTTGAAGTTGAGTCATTAATTTTCAGATAATGATTGTAGAAGGAAGATAAACCAAAATATGTGTGTAAAAATAAAAAAAAAAATTAAAAAAAATGTTACCTTATTTTATAAAGTATCCTCCCGACAAGTATTTCAGTGCGGACCTGTATTTGATCGTGCGGTCTTGGAGCACCGGCATGCTCTTCCCTGTGAGGTCTTAAGTCACCTGATTCACGAGCCCTTTGTAGTACATTAAAAAGGCACGAGGGGTTGGTTGCACTCGATTGGGAAACCGATCCGCATAAATCCGTGATGCCGCGGCAGCATTTTGTAAAGGTTCCCCCGTGAATAAGAATCATGTCCACAAGTTTAGCATTTTCGTAAACATATGCCATTTTTTATTTCGTTTGAGCCACGCAACAAACACCACTATTCACTCACGCGTTACCAACTGAAACATTGACTGACATCGTGATAAGCGTTTCAAATTCTTTCGCTTTTTTGTTTCCGATGCGATGAACCGATAAGGCGGATTATATCCGTTGTTGCCAAACACGAGCACATAATATTATTATTGAGACAGGGCGGTACTCAAACTTCTAAAGGGCTATAACTTTGTTAATTTAATTTTACCAGAAAAATGTTAAAGGAATAAAACATTTCTTTTGATCAGATCTACTAACTGTTAAAATAAATGACTCAACTTCGAAGTCACCCTGTATATAAGTTATGTACGTAGCAGGTATGGTATCTTGATTTGGTACCCACATTGCGCAACACACATTAGTAAGATAGAACGTGTTCAGAGAACTTTTTTAAATATATGCGTTTTAAGAAAACTGGTTTATTCCCGGGAAGAGAATTTGATTACTCTGCTGCTTAATGAAGCAAACTTTATTTCTCTCACACGACGTATCTTTCTAACAACGAGTTTCTTGTACAAACTCATTCATAGTGACATAATATGTGAATTTTTGTTAGGTAAAATTCCATTTACCTTGCCCAGACGCAACACCAGAAATTCTAGAGTATTTTATTGTGAATGTCCTAGAACCAACATTTTAGCTAAGCCGTCGATTTCGATAATTTGTAACAATTTTAATTTGATATGTTACAGCTGTGACATCAATTTTTCCCCTATCTCGCTAGTTTATAGTTCTATTTTTCAGATCACATTTAATATGTAACTTTTTATATTATTCAAGTGTTTATTTTTATATAACATTAGTTATATTTTTTCTTTTACATAAAACGAAATGTTTATTTGATTTTACGCATTTCCTATTATTGGGTGCACATGTACCCCATGGAAATAAATGTCTATCTATCTATCTATCTATTATGTGTATTGGTCTGCATGTGTATAAAATCAGTGATATTTGCTGTGTGAGAAAATCATTACTGAAAATGCTGCCATTGAAGTATATCTATTGCCTGTGACTGACGGGTTATTTTTATGTTGTGCTTTCTGAAGAGAGGTTATGTTCAAAGTTATAAATTACGAAAAACTGATGAGAATTACGGCAAATCATCACCGCGCCCGCGTGATGGATTGTTATTTGTACATGTTTTGTGGTGGACAACATTTCCGTTTCCGTAGCAGCATCCATCTTGTTTTCTCTTTTAAACAATTGGGTTAAGGAGATCACCATGTCGTCTCACCTAGTTTGGAGTATCATTCGTAACAACAACGCTTTTCTACTGAAGAAAAGGAACATCTCCAAACCTTTCAGTACGGAGCCCAATAACTTAACAAATGTCAATTCCTTCAGATATAATGCGTTGATCGACAAAAAGTCTGTTGGAATTGTGGATGCACCTGACAAGAAGGGATTCACTGTTGTTTACAAAAAAGCTAGCACACAGAACAAGCCTAGACAAAGTTACAAATATGGCTTGTAATTCGACAGTGTACAGTGAATATAATTATTTCTTATCACTCTTATTTTTGAAATTCAGCAAATTTGTATATGTAATTTCCAGAATGGATAAGAAAAAGTGGATGCGCAACTAATTTCTAGCTCTGAATCTCAATTAAGTGTATTTGAGACAAGAACTCAATGTACGAGTAATTATCATCAACACATACAATTTATAGCTTAGACCTCCAGTAATGTCATCTCAGAAGCAGATTTTACATCGCATCAGAGCCAAAGATTGATAACAAGCCTCATGACGTTTAGGGAACACGTACGATTAAGTGCTAAGTTAATATCTTGTAGAAAAACCTACATAATGTAAAAAAAGACAGCGCATAAGGTCAAAAAAAATCGGCATAATATCACTTTTCAAGATACGTGATACCCGTGCCGGACGCCATGGAACAACCGTTGGCTACTTCTGGGGCGTATTTACGCAGGATAAAAGTTAGACCCGCATAAATTTTACCCAATAAGCTCCCTTCAATGTCTAAGAACAGCGTGAGCATGTGCATAAATATTTGCTATTTGATAACATCATCACCAATAAGACATTTGTTGGAATACTAATGTGTTTCAAATTCGACGCTCAACATTGGGATCTCGGAAACTGTAAGATATACGAAGTCGCTCAATTGGAGGTAAAGCTGCATATTCAGGTAATTAAGAAAATGCCGCATAGAAAATCCGGGGAAAGACGGAAAACACTGAATTTTCTCAAATTTTTTCTTGGCTTTATTTGTAGTGTAGTTTCAAAATAACTTTTAGATTAATATTGCTACTTACTGTCCTCTACAGAATGGCATGACTTTATTTTTCATTATGGACGCCATATTGGATCTTTGCACAGATGAATGGAATTTATTTCAAAAAAGCAAAATTTCCCAGGAAGGCCATGAAATTAACGGATAGTCATTTGTTTTGCACACCAGATTTATCCCAAAATTATTTTTATTTTTTCCTTACTTTATTTCAGATAGAATTTCAAAATAAATGTACTCCTCAACAAGAGGGCGTAGTCAAATTTTCAATTAGAGTCTTCTTCTCTCGACTTCCAACACCAATTTTGTTTTTGCAAATGGACGTTATATTTGAATCGTATACATTTAAATTGACTTTTCAGTCCTAAATTCAGTAATAATTTCGCTTGTTGGCCATGAACTTGTTGGATGAAAATTATAAAGAAATAAAAAGGTATGGAAAGATCTGAACTCAAAATGAAAATGTTATTGATTGTATATAATAAATGAGTAGAGGTAAGTCATAGCAGATGTTTAAAATGTATGTTATTTTGCAAGCAAAGCCTGACCTTTTTGTATACATTGATCACTGCTCGATTTATTTTCCTTCCTCGCAGTCTTCCAAACTATGTTACCGTGTTCAGTTTGAGGTCTGGTCTGGTATACGAAACAAATGACTATATGTGTGTTGATCGATGCCGAGCATAAAAATGGAAAACAAAACTCAAAATTGGTGATGGTGATTTCCCTTAATTCTCCTCAAAGTTTTAAAGTTTTTGAAAACACAAAAAAACGTAATTAATAACTTTGAACATAACCTGTCTTCCGAAAGGACAACATATAAATAACCTGTCTGGCACAGCTAATAGATATACTTCATTGGCAACGTATAAAGAAATGATTTTCTCACACAGCAAATATCACTGATTTTATACACATGCAAACCAATACACACAATCATCCAGATGCGATCTTGCTATTCAACCAAATAACCAACTTTCTTCTCAGAGAATCAGAAACGAAAACTATAGACCACTCGGATTCGCAATACATATGCAACCAACAATGCGTGTACGTGTAGTTGAGATATTCCTCGATAGATGGACGCTCACAACGATACCCTATCCCCTATCTCATAATACCCGTGCCGGTTAACAAGTTGTTGCATCTGACAAAATGTATTCTCAACTCTCAACGAGTCTAAGTACTCCCCGCCTAAACCGTAAACGCTTTACTTAAGCTTCAGAGTGCATCCGGTGATCGAACGACGTCTATTGTGAACGCCCCCCTGGAATCGTAGATCGCCTGTTAGGGTAGCCACAGAGTAGCCAACCTAGCAAGTAACTGTCAGTGTAATAACTTCATTTTCATCGTTTCATAATAGAATTGGAATAAAATGTGAAAAAGGATAAAGAGAAGCAAAAAGAGGAAACTTAGGGTATTTCCCTCCATCTTTGATAAAAATTGAAGCGGGTGTTTTTAGAGAGAGAAAAATACACATGGATATTGCCAGTTTTACAATATCGTGATGACACTAATTACACACTTTATAAATGTCTCGCTGACATCAGTCACTAACAAGCTTTTAAAAAGACGTTCTCCACTGACGATTTTGTCGGCATCTCAGAAGTGTCAGCACGAGTCATCAGAGCAGCTTTCCAGTGGTTTTTGGTTTGAGAGTGATACACTTCCATACTGGTATTACGTAAAAGACCTAAAAAACTTGAAAAAAATACGATGAATTATCATCTTGCAGGCTAGGTAGTTTTTAGTGTGCAAATAGATCATTCCACGTTTGCTCGCTATGATCGGTTTAGGCAAAACGTACAGCTACAAAACGAGTTCACAACAATAGCTTGTGCTAAGTTTACATCTCCTAAAGAAACCTACAAAAAACTTATGTCGAAATGTCAAAAATGTTACTTTTCAAGATACGTAATTCCTATGCCACATAAATAGTCGATGCCGCGGTGTGGTTACGTTTTCAAAGTGGCGACTTCACCAAGACGGTCGCCATGTCAGAGAGCTTCCATATCCTTCAATGAAATACCCTGGCTACGGATGTTGGCATCGGCACTATGGCGTCTCGGTGAAGGAGGACTCTTACAGGCTAACGACTACAACCAAGATTTAAAAAAATCTAGATTATTGACAGAGCTAATAACTATGTGAAAAATCACCCCCTACTCGGCGAATCAGGTACGAGGGATGTCTTTTAAGTTTTGCATATGGGAATAAAACAACACGGTAGGTAGTTTTAAATGACTTTATTGTTTTTCGAAGTATACTCCACGATGATTAATACACATCTGCACGCGGTCGAACCAATTTTCGAAGGAAAAGTAAAGAAATCGTTAGGTCTTAGATCGGGACTATACGGAGGATGGTCCAATAATTCCACGTTTTCTTCCGTTAAATACTGCTTTGTTTTTTGGGCTGTCTGCGAGCTTGCATTGTCTTGGTGGAGGATGATTCTTCTTTCGGGGTTGATTTTTCGAAGCTCGGTAATGACTTTTGGCAAACAAATGGTGGTATACCAATCCGGAGTAACAGTTCTTTGCTCATTAAGAGGAATTGTTGCAATATGACCCGCTTTTGACATAAATGTCGTGACCATCTTTTTGGAAAGACTTCGAGAATGGATGACTTTTATTGGCTTTTCTTCACCTTGGAACACCCAAACAGTCGACTGTCGTTTATTTTCTGGTTCATAACAGTAAATCCACGATTCATCACCACTAACAATGCTGTACACATTTTTTGAGTTTCCGGGAGTGAAACTGTCAACCGTTTTTTGACACCAATCAACTTTGGCTGCTTTCTGCTCTTCAGTCAACAGGTGGGGTATCCAACGGGAAACTAATTTTCTACTCCTTATTCTTCATGTAAAATTTTTTGAATTGAGGTCTTTGAGATCTTCAAGGACGCCTCAATCTCGCGATATGTCACATGTCTATCCTCAATGATAAGTTTGCGCACAGCATCGACGTTTTCCTAGGTGACTGTCGTTTTTGGTGCACCCACCCTGGGATCCTCCTTGTCGACTGTTGTGGCGCTTCGTTGTCGAAAACAGACAGTAACTCAGCAAGGCATTCTTGTTGCGATAATTGTCTCTGAAAGTTGTAATAAATTATGGCGCGAAAGTGTTCTCGGTTGAGTTCCATTTTTCTAATGACTTGGTGACACTTAAAAATTCACTGTAGTGAGTATTGTTGTGAAACTTTGAATTTAAGTTTACTAAAGAGTGAGGTTAAGATTCAGTACTGACGTTCGATCCGCGCAGCCTACTATGTTTCTATATGCAAAACTTAAAAGACATCCCTCGTAGTCATCAAAGCCTTAAATTTGGCAAAGGCATTGACTCATCTGCTTTCATCGATTACAGTATAATATATCATGCCTGAACCCCAAGACATCCATAAAGTTGCATTGTGTGTTAAAGAAAATACAAAAAATGTACTGCATTACAAGCGTATGCTAAGGCGCACGTCAGACGATCAGTATTTACTATGAACTGTCAGCATTTAGTATGTAGTGTAACATTTGTTGCCCATACAGGGTGTCCCGAAAAAAGTGTGCAATATTCTACCAGCGATTTCTGGAGCTTAAAATAGGAAGAAAAGTTTATATAAACATAGATCGACAAACGTCCCCTAAGGGCGCTACGGTCTTTTAAATGGGCGCCCCTGAAGATGGTTTTTCCTTAATATTTCCAAAACGTATTGAGATAAAGACATAAAATTTGGTATTCTAGCCTAGTTTTTTATGCTGAATTTAAAAATATTAACAATTTTAGATAGTTTTGTTTTTAAGCGTATGTAACAGGGACGGGCTTAGGTTATTTGAACCCCAAATTTATGTGTGATTCTATTTTTGAACTTCAATTGTAAAATTTGAAAATTTAGGGTTTTATATATAAAAAAGGTACTCTTATCGAATATCGATAAATTGTGCCATTTTTGAATAAAATCAAACTAAAAAATTTGTCTCACGATAGGAAATGTACTGCGAATTTAAATGAATTGTTGATTATACATAGTTACCATGACTGCAAACAAAAGTTGTTTTGATTTGTTATGACTTATTTTGACGTTAAGCTGACATTGTTAGCAGTGTAAAATTACTAGATTACAATCAAAATTTTTATTAAATCGATTTAAAATGCCAAGATGTACAGACAAAGAACTGACTGACATGCATTATGTTTGAAAATAATCCGCAAATAAGCATACGAAATGTTTCA